CAATGTTCATTATGAGCAGGAGCAAGGCTTTGCCTTTATAGTAAGAGCAATACTAGTAATTAGCTGTGAACTAATAGTTATTAGCTGTGAGGTCCATTTGCCAGGAGCTGTGAAAAAGTAGCACAGTTGGAATCTTCTGTTACTCTGAGAAGTAGCTACAATTTGGGAATAGAAATGGAAGCTGATACCTGCTGTTTCTATAATGAAATCTGACTGTTCTTGCTTTTGAGAGCAGGAGGCCAGAATTTCATACACACAAAGGGACATGTAAAATGAATAGGGAGACTAAATGGACTAAACACATATGTACTGTCAAGCACGAGGCTAGGATAGTTCTAATTGGAACTTTTTAACAAAGTCTGGTGATGGGAATATTAATAAAACAATAAAGGTTAAACCTGTATCCCTTAAGAGCAATGTCAATTAGACACTTTCTCTCTTAGGCTAAGATGATGTTTGAAAGACTTAATAATCAGTACAGCAAAGGACTTTCACCAGCTAGTGGTGATGCTCATGGCTAGAGTTTTAGCTCTTGGTTTTAGACTGTTCATGGCATTGGTTCACGGCATTGGTTGCTCGGAGGTCTGCCAGGCATTCATGTGTAAATTGATGAGCCGTGGAAGGTCCAAGGATTCCTTGGGGAGGGAAGGGATTGATGCTGTATTGAAGCAACCTGGGGAGGGGCATGTTTACTCCAGAACCATAGTTATTTTATTTTAACTAGCAAAATTAATTGGGTATCAACTTGCATTTGTTAGAATTCTTTAGAGTAACGTAATTGATAGAAAAAAATATGTAATTATGCAAAAGCATTTATTAAAAAGATTTACAGGATCAGAAGCCGAATAGTCCACACTGGTCAACTGTACCTTAATGAGTGTGAAGATCCAATAGTTGCTCAGTCTAAAATGCTGGAAGCTTTACAGCAAGGATCAAAGTTTCAACACCAACCCAAGGCAGGGAAGCTCTCTGGAGTCTACAGTGTGAGTTCACATGGAAAGACTGAAGAAGCTGGAGTCTGAAGTTCCCAGGCTCTCACAGTAGCAAAAGAAAAGTGAAGCTTTTCACATGCAGGCTGACTTTCTCCTCTTTCCCTTCTCATTCTATTTGGGTTGCAAGCTTATAGGATGGTGCCACCCCTAATTAGGATGGATCTCTCCCTCCACACACACACTTTTTGCTGGCCTCCATGCCAGTCATCTTTGGAACTACCTCCACAGACACACCCAGACTGTGCTTTACTGATCTTCTTGGCATCTCCTATGCTAGTAAAGCTGACAATCAAGATTAACCATCAATCTAATCTGAAATTTATCCTTAGTTAAGGAGGCAACTTTTTAATTGTCTCTTTGAATGGCAAAATCCCAGCCTCCCTGAACTCATTATAGTACCAAATTTTATTGAAATAATGTTACAGTTCATCAATAATTTCCCTTTTTTACAGTAGATAATCACAAGTAGGTAGAATCCACAGTGAACAGTAATAGTTTTCTCCAGGAAGCATGAAGCCTTCTAAAGTTTTCTGTTTTCTTTTGGGAGTAATAATTTAGCCTCAACAGATGATATGTCAGCATAGGCCTTGATATGCTCCCTGCATCCAGAAGATGCTCTCGGAATAAATCCATTAAACCACCAATTTACAGAGTGCCCACAGCTGGAAACAATGGTAGCTTAGAATTTTGGGGACACTGACCCCAAATTTCAGCCACTTAGGATTCAATTGTTGAAAAACAAGCATAGGAGAATGAAAACTTCTGGATCCATTTGTATCAGAACAGGGAGCCATAAGAAATAGATGGTATACACTGTCCTGCCTTCTCTCTGGATGTACACACATGAGTGGTTTGGGTGAAACTCTTGTGAAGGCTGACACTTTGTGAATGTGATTTGGTTTGGGTGATGTAGGCATTATTTGTGCACTGTCTCAAGGTATTTTGATGATCTATGTGTAAGGACTGTAGATATTTTGCATGAAGCCAAGGAAATCTTTTTGCAGATTTTGATGTTTTTAGTGGCAGAGCTGCTGCTAAGCCTCAGTGATACGTCTGTATTAACTGTAGAATGATGGTCTAATATCTCAGTGGTCATCCTTGCTGGGACTTTCTGTGTGTGATCACCTTGGTCTCCCAGTATGTGGTGGATCTTGGCACTGGATTCCAAAATTCCATACCATTCCAGAGCTGAGGTATGTTAGCATCCCTTGGGCACCTGACAGATCTACTCTTTAGAATGTCATGGCTGTGAAATACTGAGGAATTACTTTTGTCTGTGCTTGATACCAAACAGTGTTTTGAACATCTGGGACTTCTAGAAAGATCATTGCCCTGAAGGAAAAGTCAGACATGCTGTGCTTTGTCCCACTTTACTGCCCAAATCTGCATGGCCTTAGTTATGTCACATCCTCTCCAGGACATAATTTCATTGTGGTAAACTGATGGTTAGAAGATTCTGACACAAGCAATCAGTATCCCCGGGTGTTATTTCCATATTTCCAAATCTTAATGAAAATCAGACAATGATCCAGATGTTCATATGTGTTATTACTTAGTAAAATGTGGTTTTTGGGGGACAATATTTTGCAAGTCATGAGATCCTATGATAGAAACTTTCAAAGCAATGCCTGGGGGAAACAAATTAGTGACACACAGACATGATGATCTTCAGCTCCCATCTTTTGTATGTGGCCAGGGACCTGAGAACAGGGATGCAAGCACTTCAAAGTCATGGCAAAGGAAACATTTTTCAAAAACCAAGTCTATCTTATTCCTGCCTAAGCTTAACTTTTACTGTTAAGTATTAAAGGTTGAAATGTGGTCTAGCACTGGCAGCACCAACTGTGCCTGGAGATTGGTTAGAAAGGGAGATTCTTGGGCCTCATCTTGTGCCTCAGGAATCAGAAACTGAGGTGGGACCCAGAAACCTGATTTTGTAAATCCTCTACGGGAACTGGCTGTTGACAAAGTTTGAGAAGCACAGAAGGTTTCTAAGTATCTCATTGAAGCTACCCAAAAAGCTTTGCTTGGTTCTCAATATCATCCCACGACAGTCACTTGGACAACTACATTTACTCTCTTTTGATACATAGTGGACACTGAGGGAGACTGAGTCATAGATATTTATAGTTTATTTATCAACATTCTCCACACAGCATGCAAACATTGTATGAGTTTCTCTGCCACTAAGCTGACTTCAATTTTGGAGGGAAAACTATCCCTCATGTTCTTTTAAGTCTTTTAAGGTATTGGTTATGTGACTTTAATTTTTTCATTTATTTGCTTGTTCCTTGCTACCTTGCTCAAAAGGGTGTGGCTCTATTTAAGATATATACCATAAACATTTTAGAAAAATTTAAAAAGTAACATAAGTGATAGAATACATATTACTGAAAAAGAATCCCTTGTTTTGGTTTGTTTTCAGTACTGGGGATTGAATTAGGGCCTTCATACTGAGCTACATCCCAATCCCTTTCTAAAATTTCTTATTTTGAGACATGGTCTCACCAAGTCACTAAGTTTCCCAGGCTGGGCTTCAACTTTCAGTCACCCTGTCTTGGCTTCCTGACTCCTACGATGATAGGTGTGCACCCCAACACCTACCATAGCTCTTAGAGGAAAAACTTTATAAGTGAAATTTAAATATTAAAAAGGCAAAGAAAATAAAACAGAATCACACTTCTTCTGCCCATCCTCCACAGTTTGTTTGGGTTCACCTACCGATAATTGTAATTTGTAGAAATGTGGAATTTGTTATACATGTTTAGCAAACTTTTTTTCCTTAGCATATCTATGTATCTAAACGTATTAGTATAGCTTTAGATATTCTTTTATAATTGTAACAGGCAAAGTTTTCCATAGAAACAGAAGCAATAGGATCTCCTGTTGTCAATATAGGATAGATACATATCCATGGCAATATCCATATTATGTTTTAATCTATCATGCTCTATCTACAGGTAGATAGAAATGTATTTTAAGAATTGGCTCACATGACTATCATATTTTTCAATCTAAAATGTTCCTCAAAGTCTTGTATATTCAGAGGTGGGGCTTTTGGAAGGTGACTAGATCGTGAGGGCTCTAACTTCATCATTGGATTAATCCACAAAAGAGATTGTAATTTGATGGCATTGTTGGGAGGCCACGGAAATTTCAAGGGAGGCCTAGCTGAAGGGAGTGGGTCATGGGGAGGTGACCTTAGGGGCTTTATCTTCTCACTAGATGCAAATCAATGGAGCTGGTCAACCATGGACTGAAACCCTTGAAACCATGAGCCAAAAGAAATCTTCCCTCCTATAAGTTGCTTTCCTGAGACATTTTGATCACAGCAGTAAAGCCCTCCCTGGCACAACTGTGGAAGTTGATAAACCCAAAATTTTGCAGGTAGACAGCCAGCTGGAACACTGGTGAAAAGCTGATGTTGCAATTCAAGTCTAAAGGCAGTTTACTGACAAAATTCCCTCTTCCTCTTGCTTGGGAGAAGTTGTTCTGTTTTTTGTTTTGTTCTGTTTTATTTTGGTCTTCCATCGCTTAGAGCAGGCCCATCTACATTATTGTGGGTAGTCTGTTTTATTCAAAGTCTACTAATTGAAATGCAAAACTTCTCAAGAAATACCTTCACAGTAATACTCAGGTGTATTGACCAAATACCTGGGCACCATGGCCTAGCTAAGCTGATGTATAAAATTAATCATCACATTCACAGTTTTCACAGTTGTGTGCATTTCATTTAATATGTGAACTACAGTTTACTCAGTTCCCTGAGGCTGGACATGTTCTCAATGTTTCTGCCCTTGTATAGAACACCTCTTTGTATATCTACTCATTTTTCAGGAACAAGACACACACAGTGTAAAAAGGAATACATGTTTCCAACTTTTTAAAGATTTGACTTTATATTGCCAAGTTGGCCTTACCGAGATCTTTAGCCCTTGAACAACAACTGGAAGGCTTGGGAAGGGGAGCTGTACGAGACCTGTCTTGATGCTTTTCTTTCTTTCTCAGCTTGTCAGACTCTGGGCACTGGCATGATGCTGAGCTCCTGGGCCACCTCCTCAATTGAAGAAGTCGCAGAGGCTCGTCCTGATGCCCTTCGCTGGCTGCAGCTGTACATCTACAAGGACCGTGAGGTCACCAAACAGCTAGTGAAGCGAGCTGAGAAGATGGGTTACAAGGCCATATTTCTGACTGTAGACACTCCTTACTTGGGCACCCGCTTTGATGATGTGCGTAACAGGTTTAAACTGCCACCACAGCTCAGGTAATCATGATCATGCAGAGCCTTACCTGGACTGCTGATACTCTTTGGTGTTTCACAAGCCAAAGGCTTTCTCTAGTTCCTAAATGGGTGCCCTTGGGAAATTAGTTTACCACAAAAACATTAGCCTCACAGTGTGGTTCCAAAGAATTGTGTCTAGGATTGATTGGCTCTGGGTTCTAGAGATAGTCTTGTTGCTAAATAGCCACATAATCACTAGAGAATAACACTTCTGTAGTGGGTATCACATACTTGACATAAAAATCAGAAAAAGGAATCATTATGTGCTTGCGAAAATCTAATAAAGTCTGTACCAAAATACATTAGGACTTCTGAAAGTGTGAAATATCAGAGAGATGGATGATGTGTAAGTTAGCCTAGGCAGTAGGTTGTTATTATTATCCTGATACCCTTTCTTTGGTTTGTTGAAATAAAAAAACCACCTGTAGATTTTATTTTTAATTCTATTAGGGAGAACGAGGACTAGAAACATTGACGAAAGAGAAAAGAGTAGAGGCGAAAGAAGTCACAACTGTTTTTGGTTTTATTTTGATTTGTTTTGTTATCTGAAATAAGGTCTCCCTATGTAGTTTGTGCTGACCTTGAACTGGTGACAATCCCCCTGCCTCAGCCTCCTGAATACTAGGATTATAGGTGTGCCACCACACCCAACTCAAAAGCCACGGTTTTGATCCTTATCTTCTATTTCATTTGGCAATATTCCTCTTTCAAGAACTTCATCCATGAATCATGATTCAGGGATTGTGGATTTATTCATTCTCTTACTTGTTAGTGAAAATACGGTATCAAATAATCTAAAATTGAACTACAATGTTTTTGTCAGATTACTCAGTCTTTCCACTAACTTTGAATCATTGTCCCTTTCTTTGCAGTATTTAAGGACTAGAATCAACTCCATGGAGCTTACTGAGAAAGAGTCTAACTTCCCTAATCTATTTGCCTCTTTAACCCACTGTCTTTTCCTCCTTAAATTTCCCACCAAAATCAACTTTTGGGTGTCTCATGACAGTGTATGTCATGATGTGTGATAGTCCTGAGAGCTGTCACTATCTGAATGCAGATCAAACTCTCAGTGGAGGGTATCTTGGTGATGAATTCCCAGAAACCATTAGAGTATGTGAGATAACAAGAGATGCCTTCCTGGGAGCCCAGATCTCATACCACAGGGTGCATTGCTCAGTCTGAATACATTGTAATTATATTTAGAACAAGTAGGACTAGCCTACTCTGCTCAGCCTTCTAAAAAGAGTCCAAAACTAAAAGATTAAAAGATCAAACCAATGTTTTGCATAAGGACAAAAAGACTGTTGAAATCTAGGGCTTTTTGTATGTATTATTATCAGAGTAGGGTGCAACTCTTTCACCCTGTAAGTCATAACTATAGTTTTGCATAAGAGCCACATAACTGTCATTCACCTCTGTAAACATCTATGTGAGTATAAACTATTATGCATAGACTCTTGTTGTTGAGCCATGTGTAAATTAGCAGTGCAATATCGATTCTTCTGTACAGAGTTAGGATATTATCTCTGTATGTAGCACCTACGTGAGCCAATGACAGAAAGAAAAACTATTTTCCCTGGCAGAGTTGCCAATAAACTGTTCTACATAGCTCAAATACAGCGTTACCCAAACACCCCAACTTTAAAGGAAACAAACAAAAAGGAAAGCCCCTGACAAAATCCTCTACCTCGCCAAGTTAATCAGTAGGCAGATGACCTCAAATTTCCTTAATATGTAACCTGTACTTAGATTATCTCTGTATTTTGACTACCTAATTTCTTTCTTTCTTTTTTTTTTTTTTTAAGTTTCCCACTGTCTTGGCTTCTGACAGGAAACATTCCTCATTATTTCCATCTGGTCATTTGATAAACAATTTCCCACTTCTTGTCCTCTTCCTCCACTAAATGCAGCAATAATAAATGATAGGGCAGGGTTTTTTGTTTGCTAGTGTTTTGGTCTTGTTTGTTGTTTGCAGCTTAAGAAACACTCTCTTGCTTGGGTAGTGAAGCTCGTTTTGCACATGTACCTGATTAGGTGTATGAGATGACAGAATCCTTTATGTTGGCTGGTGCTCCCACTCCCTCAGCACTGGGCTGCTCGCTGAGGAGCGGGAAGCCTGATTTGCTTTCTCCCTTTCCTCTGCTCCTGGGCTTCTGCCCAGATGACGTGAAGGACCAAGAAACAAAGACCCCTTTCAGCTGCCGGTGTGCACAGGAGTGGCCGTAGCTCCCCAGCCTGGCACATGTCTGGTCTGAAGATGATCAAATAATGAGCAACACATCCAGGTTACGGGGAACATGGGAAACACCCTGCAGCTGGTGCACCCTGGCCCCTGTCATGCCCACTGGCCCTGTTTGTCCTGATGGACTTCAGGGAAAGCCAGTACCTTCAGGTCAGCTCCTTACTGGCTCATATTCGACTCCTGAAGGCAGCTCACTAATGGGACTTCCAGGCTTCCGCTGGAGGTCACACACACCCCAAGAGCCCATCTGTCACAGCCTGATATGAAATCAGTTTCTGTCCGCGACTGACCTGACTCATAGAAGGTGAAGCCTGGCTTTTCAGAAGTGAGGTTTGGCAGGCGACAGAGGCAGGAAATCCAGAGGAGAATGAGTCGGTAAAGCAGCGGCTCCTTCCAGCCCTTGCTACTTCCTCTGCCTGGGTAGGGGGAGGGCCCCCACTGTTGGCATCTGGGAGCAGAGAGAGTTCACGCATTGGGTAATCTCCGCTTGGTCTCTACTCGAAACACATGTATGCATGTATATCATACGGAGGTTCCTGAAACTGAGGGCCCTGTGAGGAGAGTTCTGTGCTCTGGAAGCAGCTAGGAATGAGGAATGAAGCTAGTTCTCTGCAGTGATGCTTGTGGAGGCTTTGGGGAAGGGTCCGCTTGCTTTCAAAGTATTCTATTCTTGGTTAAGATTGGGCTTCACAGGGCAGAGCCAAAGCAGTGTAAAGAGAAGAGAAGTCACTTTTGATTACTAAGATCACGGTAAAGCATGGTTAGGTCAATAATCTCACTGATGAGTGTGGGGGGCTGAAGTTGTCCACGTCCTAGTCCCATGAACCTGACCCATTATGTGGCCAAATGGACTTTGCAAATGTGATAATTAACAATCATGGAATGTGGAAATGATCTTGTTTTGTCCTAGGCATCTTAATATATTGAAAAGAAAGATTTTTTTTAATTTTAAAAATAAAAGGAGGAAAACATTAACAGACAGACAACCTTTTACAAAATAGCAAAAGAACAGTACAGACAAAACAGAGTTACAGACAAAGTGGTAGGAAATTAACAGTGCTTGTGGTATTACATACTGATATTTTCAAAGTGGTTTCTCATGAAAACAGATAGAGACATGCAATATTGATCAATCAAGGACTCACTGACAGTTTCTTTCAGCAAAGAAATAGAAGACAAAGAAAGATCTTTATAAGAGGGATGCATGAGTCTTGGGGTCAAGATAGGAGAGGAGATGGTAAAATCAGAAGTTGGAGGGACAAGGCCAGGAGCAGGGTGGGGAAAGCAGGCGACCTGGAAAGCTGGGAAACATGAAGGGCTGTGTCCTTCCTTCCCTCCAACAGAACAAATAGTGCACAGGCGACACCATGAATTCCACCAAGGAAGACCTGTTTCAGACTTCTGATCTTCAGAACTGCAAAATAGTAGATCTGTGGCATTGTAACCATTTGTTACAGCAACAGTTAAAAAATAAATATGTATCACTACAAGTCTTCTTCTCAAAGTAGCTTCTCAGTGAGGTCAGCCCTGATTACCATCTTTCAAAATTTCTAGTTGAGTCCCTGCCAGCTCACCTCCCTCTTATTCTACCCCACGGCTCTCTTTATTTTGCATACCGCTTATATTCCAACATGCTCTGTACTTTACCTATTGATTGAGTTTATCACGGGTAGGACTTTTGGTTGTCTTATTTACTGTTGTATCCTAGATAGCTAAAACAATACTCTGGTTTCTCTTCAGATCGTATAAAACTTCTGCCTTTTACTAGATAACTAAAACATTGGCACATAGTAGGTACTCAAAAAGTAACTGTTGGGTCAAAAAATAAAAATGCACTGCAACAAGAGAGATTTCCCCAATATATTATAACTAAGAAGGCATCAAGCTCAAAGTGTATGTCCTGTGCTTGTCTTCCAATTGCTTGGTCACATTGAGGCAGAAATCATCCAGGCCGAGTCCTAAACATCAATGTTTTCCTAACCACAGAATTAAAAGACTGGTGGCTCATGCGCCCATCCTGTACAGGTTGGGAATTTCTCCCTCAAGCTCTGTCTTCCTACTTTGATGACAGTGTAAGTTCTACTTTTTTTGTTTTGTTTTCCACATATAGAAATGTGACTTTATCTTTAATGTCAAAGAGCCAATATTTATAATAAATAATACATATATTATGTATCACTCAGTAACATTATTATTTGTGTTACTGGTTATTTAATATTATTTAATGTTCTTTAATTTTTTTTACTACTGCTATGATGCTAATATAACAAAAATTAAAACTATTCCTATATTAGATTAAAAGGTGGTTGTTCAGGGCCACTCAAGATGAGTATCTTACGAGGATGAAATCCTATCTTTTCCTTTCATATCATTAAATGGATCAAGATTGGAAAAACTAAGCCCTAAGAAATACAATGTTTTTTCCTTTTGAAATGTAATGCCTTATCAGAAGCAGCATATATATCTATATATATTCTGAATAAAAATAGCATTCATAATGATTGCGTTTGGAGCCATTGGTAAAACACTCCATTGTGGGTCTCTGTCAAGATATCTGAAAACTTTTTCTTGGCTTCTGGCTTTGAACAAAGTTTTAGAGTAACAACAAGGCTTCATTGTGCACTGAAATTTCTGTAAGGCAACATTCATTCAAGTGTTGATCTGCATTTCACCATCCAAGAATAACAACAGTTATTTATATAATTTTATCCATGTTTCTGTTTTTTCCTACCCATTTCATCCTTTCACCCACCTCTCCTGAAACTCGGCCGCTTGTTTGGGATGGGGGTGGGGCACCACGCAGAGTATATACACACTCAGATGTTTTTCTTTTTTTACTCCAGGTCTTGCTATGTGGTAGACAAATTGGATTTTTTTTCTCATTAACAGCGTTATTTAAAAATTTGGAATTTAATATTTCAAAGAAATGAAATAGGTGTCCATAAAATAAACGTGTTTGTTGATCTCAAGGCTTAATTCAATCAAGTTTGGGTGACCACAGAATACCAAGGACTCTGATAAAATGTACAACTGTAAGTGCTTTGATTAAAAAAAGATGTCCAGGAATTTCAGCTAAAGTCCATACCAAAGCTCAAAAAATAGATGGGCATTTGTATGACTCTTAAATTGAAATTTTCAGTGACATTTACTAGTCATCTAAATTCATGAAACTCTATGACAAATTATTCAGTCCCTGTTGGTAGAATTTTGACAGTGGTTTTAATTGAGCTATATGGGATTGAATGTTCATATCCTTTTGATAATGAAAGTCACTCTTCTACTGTAGCTACTTCAGCCAAAATACATTGAAATAAAAGAGCATCCAATATAGTTTCTATTAAAGGACTGTTTAAGAAGTAGCTTAAAGATAATGTGCCTGGACACTCATAGCTTTATATGAAAGTTTTTATAGTGGCTCTGTGTGGCAGAGCTGGTGGAGGGAGCTAATGAGCTAGGACTAAACCAGAGATTGATATACAGCTTTACTTTTACCCAAAAAGCAGATTGGCCTGGGGGTAATTTATAATTTGCAGAAGAACAAGGAGGTATTCAGGTCATTCTTATCACTTAAAAGTAGTCTTTCAGGGAATGAAGTTTGCAACAGGATTTGACGGTGGTGGGGAGCGAAGCCACAGGGGCGGTCCGTTGTGTGTCCAGAAAATTGTGCATCCACCTAGTGGTCAGAACTAGGGGCAGAAAAGGCTTAATCCCTCGTTTGAGGAACTGTCCAAATCTCATCAGGCTCTGAGGATATTAGGCCAAGAGAAAGGACTGCATGCTCAGGGTGAGACAGCAGCAGTCTTAGAGATGAGTTAGACAAACTCCACACCAAATCAGCTCAACCAAGACGCAGAGGCAGCCCCACAGAGCTGATGTGTCACAGTTTGGGTTCCCAAGAAGCAGACTGTGAGTCAGTGGTTTAAGTGCGAGTAGCTCACTGGGAAGGTGAAGGGAATATTGTTAGAGGAGTGGGGAAGTGGAGCTAGGAAGGGAAGGCAGTGAACAAAGTGCCACAATTGTGAGCAACTGCAGCTTATTCCTGCTGGGAAATTCTGTGAGTCAATCTGAGCTCCATCTCAGAGTCAGTCAACCTGGGGACGGGTAGCTGGCATACTGATAGCTCTACATCACTGAGCCTTGTAATCTTCTGGCTGGACGGTGGTGGGGCGGGGTGTCCTTTAGGCCCAGGAGAAAAAAGGAAACAGGCAAAGAAATGAAGGTGTTGATAACTGGAAAGCACACGCCCTTGTCAAAGTTATCTAGAAAATCAGGAAAGACTGAGTCAGCAGGCAGACAGCTTCCGAGGGAACAGGTAAATGGAGGAAGGATGGAGGGCGAGACTGACAGCTCATCTGCTGAGAGACATTCTCTAATCCCCGTGCCCACCACTCCATCACAGCAGGGCAGGTAAAAGGGCCTCCAGGGACAGCAGATGGGGAGGCCGATAACACATTTTATTGCAGTTCCAATCTCCACTAGGAGGGCATTGGAAGTTTTTCCTGTGCAATAGCCAGGATTCAACTCGTCTAAATGTAGGCACAAGTGTCTGTAGACAAGAAAATAAAATCGGGGCTTTCACAGGTCTTTTAGCTAACCCTGACTAGAAGGAGTTAAAAATAAACTATGAGAAAGATTCCCCTGGGAAGTAAGAAAAAAAAAAAAAAAACAGGTAAAGAAAGGAACTGAATGACCTTAGGAACTGCACCAAGAGCCCAGAGAAGGAGCTGACAGGCAGGACACAGAGAAAAAGCCAGGTGTAGCTGGGCGTGGTGGCGCATGCCTATAATCCCAGCACTCGGGAGGCTGAGGCAGGCGGATCATTGTGAGTTCAAGGCCAGCCTGGGCTACAAAGTGAGTTTAAGGCCAGCCTGAACTGCATAACAAGACCCTCTCTCAAAAAGACCAAAAAAAAAAAAAAAAAAAAAAAAAAAAGAAAAAGAAAAAGCCAGGTGTACAAATGATAAGCTGCCCCCACCTCCAATAAAATATAGGGGAAACAAAGGTGGGGCTGACTAACTTTAAGGCAGTGTGTATGTCCTCACACCTATGCACATGTGTGTGTGTATTCATTCTGGAGTCACTATACTATTCACTCTAGAGTCATTATACAGTACAATAGATATCCACATACCTCCTTACTAACTCTAAGCTAGCCATAAATAAGACATTCCTTTGCCACGTAGCCATCCAGCCCAAAGGTAAGGCCTTAAAAGGTAGGTAAGGCCTTAAAAGGTAGGTAAGGGAGAAGTAACCAAAAAGACAGAAAGAAGTTGCCCACAGATCCCCAGAAGAAATGAGGTTAGGCAAAGATGTCTGGAGGAAGCCAAGCCGTGTATGGCAAATTTTAGGTAGAGGGGAACAAGTCACCTCCCCTGCTACAAAAACAGTGGAGGACAAAGGGCCCATGTGTCCTCCATCTTTCTGGAGCCCACTGCCCTGATTCTTTCTTATCAGGGTAGCTATTTTCTCCTTTCTCCCCTGTTTTCTTTATGAAATGTCTTTTCCTTAAGCTTTGTCCCTCTAATTTACTACTGGGGCTGAAGTATGATCCTGGTGGGCTGCTTGAACAGCAGAGTAGTGATTTCTGTCCACAAATGCAACATAAGCAAAGAGAATATAATTAGGAGTCCAATCAAGAGACCCAGGTTGACATCCAACTTCTGTCACTTACTAATTTTATTCTTGGGGCATCTCATTCTACACTTCCAGGTTTATTTTCTATGTAAAGTAGAAACCATGGAGAATCAACTTTACTACCTAAAAGCCTTCTGAAAATATGACAGTATGGGTACAAAAAGCCTTTTGTGAATTATAAATCACCATACAGGTGTTTTTCACTATGATTAACTTATACTACTGGGTGAAAATAGCATCTAGTCTATTGTCTATATTCACTAACCAGCTTAAACAGGAAATATTTGAACAGGGCTATGTATTTTTCCTTGAAATTGATTTGTTTGTAGAAACACGTGTGTTTGAAGTAAACTTTAGGTGACCAATTAACAGCACAGGATTGTCACACTTAGCCTAGAGTCCTACATGAAAATATGGAAAATATGCATCCAACACACGCGTATGTCATTGAAATGAGATGAGTCAGTTGATTTGAGAAGGGTCACTTATCTGTTATTCATTGAATCAATTGCTGTGCAGATGTCTTTGACTTGGGGAATTTTCTCATTTTATGTATCTTGTTATTTCAGGATGAAAAATTTCGAAAGCAATGATTTAGCATTTTCTCCTAAGGAAAATTTTGGTGACAACAGTGGACTTGCTGAGTATGTGGCAAAAGCTATAGACCCATCTATTAGCTGGGAGGACATCACATGGCTGAGGGGACTGACGTCACTGCCCCTTGTGGCCAAGGGCATTTTGAGAGGTGTGTTCATTTGTATCTACCAGCCCATCCTGATTTTATGGTCCCTTATGGATAGGGTCATGATATTTTTGAGGGGAATAAATCAGGAAAAATTATCACAGAAATCAAAAGAGACATTCTGACTTCCATCCTCTCTTTTTGTTGTTAGCAAACAAGTATCTCTCCCTCCTTAGGTAAGATTTTGAAACAGAGTGAACTCTTACTCAGTAAAACATTATCTTTTTCAAAGCGTGGGGATATCATTGTCTTATTTGGGAGCTGTTAGTCATGGAAGTTGGCAAATCTTGGTAGAACATTATGAGTTCATTACTTTATCCAAAGGCTTCCATAATTACTTTCAGACCAAAGAAATCCCAGGGATATTGTTTCAATAGTCAGACCTGTTTTAAAAAACTTTCCTCTTTTTCTTGTGCTACCTCCAAGTACCAGGAGTCATTTTTGAATGTGATAAAATCTATACCATCTCTCTGTGGAGAATGTTGGACTAGGACAGTAGAATCCACAATTGTCAGGTCATAGATATTGAGACATTGGCTGTTACTCTAGCATTCACCTTTGTTCAGATTCCACAGGGAGTAACAGTGATCATCATAACTTTGAATTACAAATATGTTTGCCCACAAAAGTGATTTTCTTTGCCTTTGGAAACATTTTTAAGTATAGTTAAAGAGATAATAATGAAAGCACTTTAAAAAACTAGAATGTTTGAGTATGTGATTCTGGGAAGAATTTATTAATTTTTCCCAGGATTTAATAATATAGACTCAAATATTCTTCATAGATTTTGCTTCAACATGTGTAAGTCACATGGTTTCCATGCATAAAACTTTAAGGATGGCACCTATTTTGAATATTTAATCTTGTGGATGCAAAAATCAAGCTCAGAAAATGTGGGGCCAATGCACCTCTTCAGTAATGGGGTAATAAAACAGATCTATCTTAACTTCCACAAAAAACATTGTTATACTGTTTCCTATCATCATGGTCCTGATTTACATTTTCTGTGGCTTTCATACTTCAGTGAATATATCCTAGTTTATATAACCTTTGCACTACTGTTGTCACTCATAAATTAATGCTACTTCCTGTGACATACTCCATTGTAGGGACTAAAGGACATTTACCCAAAGGTTCTGTGCCATTCATTCATTCTCATTCGCTTACTCAATCTTTCATTCTCTAAACATTTATTATGCTTAGTTTATACTCAATTAAAAAAATAAGGGGCTGGGGATTTAGCTCAGTAGCACAGTGCTTGTCTGGCAAGCACAAGGTCATGAGTTCGATTCCTGGTACCGGGAAAAAAACAATTAATAATCTGAGGTCCTTGGCCAAAAGTAGATCCTATTTTTGTAGAAGATAGACTCACAAACAAGCACTTTTGGTACAAAAAAGTAGCATAGATGTTGAGACAGAATTCTTTGCAGTATGAGGCAGTGACTTTAAAATGGGTATGGACAATTATAAGCCTGGGTAAGGAAAGGCTTCCTTTAAGAATGAAACGTGGTGCTTTTGTTTTGACAGGATACTAGGTCAACAGACTATTTTAGAATGGAATAGTAGCAGAGTAAAGCAGATACTGGTAACAATTTATGCAACATGTAAGCTGTGTGTATTAGTCACTGTGATAAAATACTTCACATGCACAATTTGTGGGAAGAGAGGGTTAATTTGGCTCACAGTTTCAGTGGGTTCAGTCACTGGTAGACTGGCTCCAAGGCAGAAACCTCATGGTGGAAGGAATGGTACAAGAAAGCTGCTCACTCCATGGAAGCTAGGAAGCTGACAGAGAAAGGAGAAACTGAGGACAGGAATACATCCTGCTAATTCACACTCTCAGTGGCCTGCCCTTTCCAACTAGGCCCTGCCTCTGAGACTTTTGGAAGCTATTTTAGAGGTAAACCATAATACCATAATAGAGAATGCAGACATAAGGTGGTCAAGAACCGTTTCAGAGTCTCAGTCAGAGAAACCACTTCATCAGAGTAACATCTTAGAAAATTTTTGCCTTGTACAATGAACCAAATGGATGGAGGTAGACAAATTGAAGTCAGGCAAGGATATTTAGGAACTGTTGTTGCCCAAGCATGAGATGATTATGGACTGACCTAGAATAATGTCAGGGAAGGGACTGACAAACTGTCATTGAATTACAAGATTAATACAGTCAATTACAGATCTGGCCCAAAAGAACTGGCTTGAAAACACTATGGAAAAATACAATTTTATTCCAGGCTCCAAATTTAATCCTGGTTAAACAGAGAACAAAATCTTATAAATATAAGTGTTATCCATTTTCTTTTTAACCAACTTTTCAATTTTGGATTCTCAATATATATAATTTTTTACAACTTCACTCTTTATGATATGATGCAAATCCATTAAATTAGATTTACTATTGTGTTACACTGAAAAATACTTTGGCATCTAGAACTTTAGTCTGTTATCATCTTATCTCAAATTATCACAAGTATTACCATGATCACCTCTCTTTTCTCCTCACTCATATGGACCCTCTGGCTTAATCTACCCATTGTCACACTTTACACACACTAAATAGCTCAGCTATTTTTTCTTTTTTTTAGATGAAATCCTCAGCAGAAACTATGAGTTGAAATAATTAGAAAAAAATGTAAAATGCAAGATATAAGATACAGAGAATGGAAATTTAGTATTTGAAAGAAAATTATTTATTTATACATGCAAAGTTTACATTGCCAGATTATTCTGTAATTATTTATTTCACTTATTTAACAAACAAAAATCATCTCCATGATAACAACTGCATGAAGTAACACATATGCCCAATCTGGATATGCAGGAGGTCAGTCTTGGGAAATCTAATTTTCTCCATTTCAAGGTCTTCATCAGAAGTCACATGGGGTTAACTGAGAGATACCCACTTCTTTCATTTTCTTTTTACTAGAAATATGCAAGTTATGTTTGCAGGGATGCGAAATCATGAGCAGCTGGAAAGATCTAGATGAAACAATTCACTCTTACTACCAGTTTTAGAGTTGCATTTGAATGAATACATGTTGGAATGCAAGATGTAATCTTTTGCTGTGGTTAAACTCTGCCCTTGGAGAGTATCAACACAAGTTCCAAACATACACTTCAGACAGGATTTGGCCTTCACCAGAACACACACTAATGAACAAATGGCTTTTATGAGCAAAGACATGATGCTTTTCAAAATTCCTTTTCTCTGCTCTTTGACATGGCTCTGTCTTCCTTCCATTATAATTTTTTGTTTTTGAGAAACCATTCTCTTATAAACTCTTTTCAGATAGATGGATAGATAGATAGTATTCAAGATATTCTCATAGAATATTCACTTAGAATCCCTGGAGTATGTTAAAAACTGTGCCATGTATCTAGGATTTAGTTACTAAACTGAAAGTCAGTATCAAGTTGGAGTCCCCTGTCAAAAGCTGTAAGGGCTTAAAGTTAAATTTTGAGAATTTGTATTTCACATTTGTATTTTAGATTAAATATAGAAATAGTGTAATAAGATAACAAACAGTGCTATTACCTATTCACTATTATGTTTCTCAGTCAAGCTGTATATTAAGTGGCAAATTAACAAATAAGGAATGTCACATCGGATTACTGAAGATATTAGCTGGACATAGTGGTGTATACTTGTAACCCTAACACTCTGGGAAGCTGAGGCAGGAATGTTCTAAATTTGAACCTAATCTAGGTAATTTAGTGATTTAGTGAGACTACATTTCAAAATAAAAAAGAATACAGTAAAAAAAATCAAAGATTATAAACATTTTTCTAAGTTAGAACATTTTGACCATCACATGCAGGGAAAATGTTTTTCTGTACAGGTTACAAAATAAACAAATCAATAAAAACCCAATAAAATGTAAAACTCCAGAGAAACTTTGTAAACAGTTAGTGAAAAGGGCCTCGTTTTGGTCATGTAATATTCTTACTTGTGGGTTTCTTTATCAAGTCAGGGTTCCATACTCTGAGCAAACTATCCTGTTACTTGCCTGAGCATTCTCCGCACTGCCTGGAGAACATGGAAACCCAGTTGAAATGATAGAAAATAACAAAGTGTTTTGAAAGCAGCCTTTTAAACAATTTCTTTTTTATTTTAAAGAGGATAGTAAATGAGAAACAAACAAATAAGCAAAAAATAGAACAGTAGCAGCATACCAGTATCATGAACACAAACAAATCAGACCAAGAGCATTCAAAGTGATACAGGGTCTATTGTCTCCTTGGTATATGAACCAAAAAGACTAGGTAAAACTCAAAGTGTACAATAGATGATAGGAAAGGGAAAGATTGCTCAAAGGAAGGAACGACTGGGATGAGGGAAAGAAGGAAAAGAAAGAAGGAAGGCAAAATATAAATATATATATGAATAGCTGCGATAAACTGTATTGCTAATGTCTGATGGTGTATTGAAAAGAACAGTTAATGCTCACAATTTTTTCTGTTCTGATCGATTTTGCATGCTTGTGTCTGGTGATCTGAACAACTGATCTGAAGGTAACAGTATGCACTGGAATTACAATGGTGATCTCCTACCATCTTGTCTTGTGATACTCTGTATTACCTCTAATGTTTTATCAAAGAATTATTTTCTTATTCTTTTTAATGATTTGAGCAATCTTTCATTCTTACATCTGGCAAACTGAGCAATGTAGTTGAGGATAGCTATATGTAATGTAACAACCACTGTTGATTCATGTTATTTTGTAAGCAGTGTTTATTTCAAATAAAAGACTTTTTATAATCACCCTCATGGAAGAAACTCCATTGTTACAGCAGGATTCAGGTTGACTCACATCCAGCATCCAGCAAATAGAACTTCCCCACCTGCTTATCTTTATGCTTCTTGCATCATCAGATGAAAACAACAATAGTTCATATTTGTCTGAGTGCTCATCACATGTCAGGCATTGTCTAAACATTCAGCTCATTTAATCTACAAACCATTCTCATGTAGATTGCTGTCTTCATTTTGATGGGTTAGA